CCGGGCAGAGGCGGTGCTGAGGGCCAGGGTTTGGGGGTGGGATGGCAGGGGTAGGGGAAGGGTTGGGCTGGGGGAGCTTAAAGGGCTTTTCCAACCCAAACGATTCTGTGGTTCTATGACTTGCTCAAGGAACGAATACTTTTAACAAAAACTGTAGTCTGGCTATCTTCAGATTGCTCCTGAAGTGGTTTTGTCCTGACTAAAGTGTGTTTGCCATCTAGTGGCAGCACCCCTCCATGGAGCATCCTCCTCCTTCTCCAGCCGGGTGATTGCCAACACCCAGGGGTGCTTGGAAAGCGCTGGCAGAGCAGATGCGCCTGGCATTTGTTAGCAAAGAAAACCCGAAGTTGGGCTTTAAGAAAAGCCCCTGGCAGTCATGGCTTCAGTAATCCTGGATCAGATCATGGTTAGGGTAGGGTTTAGTTTGTGGATGTGTCCAGTGGAACGGAGTTTTTGAAGGTTGTGTTGTATTGCTGCAATGCTCTCCTTCCTGCATGATCGAGGTTTGCCTTGTGCCCGGAGCTCCTTCCACCTTTTGTGATGTTTCTGACTTCTAAAAACCAGGAGGTAGTAGGAATGTCAGGTTACCTTTTGGTTTTTCTGCCTGTGGCAGCTCTGTAATCCTTGCTGTGCTCTGCCTGGCAGTCGTACACGCCTGTCTGCACCAGTATCCATGTGACCGGGCTGTCGGGGTGCTCGAATGAACTTCTATAGTGGCAGACACGCTCTGCAAAATACTTACCCTGCCCTTGAACTTCAGTGAAAACATGGGGTGGTTTTTTTTCCTTCAGCTTCTTTTGTTGTTTGCTGAGAGTAAATTATTCCTTCTCCCCCTGAGGGTCTGAGCACTGGCTGAAGTGCTGATGACAGATGACGAAGACCTGAAACTGGAAATATGCTTCAGGCTTGGCTCCCTTAAAATTTGCACAGTAGCCTCGGATGGTGACCGAGTTGGTGGGCACGGAGAAAGGGAACCCCAGGGGACTCACCTTGTGCAGAGCTGTAACATTCGCAGGCTGACATCACCCCAAACTGTCGTTGCAGGGAAAACAAGCGTTTCCGAGTATACGTGGTGATCCCGCTGCTGCCCGGCTTTGAAGGAGACATTTCGACGGGCGGGGGGAATGCTCTGCAGGCCATAATGCACTTCAACTACAGGTACGGTGGGCAGGGCCGTGGGATTTCCCCGGGCACCTCCTCTAGGCACTTACCCTGGCTTTTACGGCGGTTCCTCCTGGCAGCACCCCCATCACCGCTGCGGCCGGGGGGGAGCGGACAGCCCCGCGGGTTCGTTAGCTCAGGGCATCGGGTGGAAGAGCTGGGCTTCATCTCCAAAGCTGCCTTTTCAGCCGATGCTTCGCCTGGCTCTGCCCGTCCGCCCCGCCAAGCCAACGGCCTCTTCCCTGATGCTGTTCCCCTGCTCCCGGGTGGATGGTTTTGGGGGGCACCTGCAACACAGCAGGTCCCATGGGAAGGATGGACACGCAGCGGTGCCAGGTAGCCCCGCACTGGGAATGGGGCGTAGAGGAAGGCAAAATGGCCCAAAACAAGGTGGTTTTACTGGAAAACTGCTGTGTTATGGTATGCCCAGGGCACAGTCAGTCTGCGGAGATTACTGCTACCTCCGGAATGAAATCTCCCTGGTCTGCTGGTCCTACTGCACCTCCATAAGGATGGGTAGGGCAGGAGATGCAAGCAGAAGGAAAGCAGCGTGTCCCCTAACCCAGCCCTTCGGCCTGAGCTTCCTCTGCAAGGGCAACCACAGGTCTTTAGAAGTTGCCCACAGATTGGGTTTTTTTTGAATGAGATGTTGGCTGTGGCTTTTCCAGCTCAGCCGTAATCACGCGAACTCCCTGACCTGGTGTTCTGCCCGTGTTGACTTTCTTGATGTCACTTCATGTCCAGACCTGTGGCACAGACGGGAGCAGCCCTGTTTGTAACGTGTTTATCAAATCATCGCGGTGTGCTCTAGAAGGCAAAAATGCTCCCCAGCTCCTGGGACACGCTCCTTTCGGAAGTGAGCAGTCCTTGATACATCAGCAGTCATTTGGGAAAAACGCGTGCTCTGGAAGCACCCTGTTTCTTCTGCTTGCACGGGGTATTTAAGAGGCATCTGTGTTTGCGATTTACCTCGCCCAGTTCTGCTTCAGCATATGCTGTTGCCTCAAGCTGGGGCGGTGCTGACAGCTGCCTACCTTCCTTCCAGGACCATGTGCCGAGGAGAGAACTCAATCCTGGGACAGCTGAAGGCAGAGGGTAAGAGCTTTATTCCCCTATGTTGCTTCGTCTCGGTTGGGATGCTGCTGTTCGATGGACACAGCTCTAACACAAATCTCCAGTTTATATTAACGTGGGCTTGCTTGGCTGGGGGGATCAGGCTGGGACTGGGGCATCTCACAGCAATCATAGAATCGTTGAGGTTGGAAAAGCCCTTTAAGATCATCAAGCCCA